CGCGACTCCTTCGACCATTCGCGCACATTTTTTGGTCCTTCGAGCCGGATCTGCTTGACCGGTATTCGTGAATTGTGTGAGTGAGGATCCTGGTGAGCTTCTCGCGCTTCGAGTGACCGCCGGGTAGAAGACATGAGTCAAGAAGTAGAGGGAATCGTCCGCTCCCAAAACGAGCTGTACGGCCGCATTTTGCGCGCGTACGAAAACTTCAAGAAGTCGGGGCCGACGAAGATCACGTTGGGGCTGGCCGAAGCGCGCCTTCAAGCTCTAGAAGCGAACTGGGCGAAATTCGAAGCGCAAAATGACCAATTGCTCCAACAATCGCAGGAGGCTCTCGATAAGCTCGACTACCAGAAGCAAGACTTGCCGGGGGTAGCCGAGGAAGCTTTCCTGCAGCAGAAAGGAGCGTTCTTAGACGCCATCCGCATCCTGAAGGCCAAGGAGAAGAGCACCGCCGAGGCCGCCGGAGCGGCCGGCACAGCGGAGTCGACTCCCCGCACTACTCTGCCTCGTATACAGCTGCCGCATTTCTCTGGAAAGTACGAAGATTGGCCTTCATTCCGCGACTTGTTCCTGTCCATTATCGGGAAGGACTCAGAGACGACGAAGGTGGAGAAACTCCATTATTTGAAGTCCTGCTTGAAAGGTGAGGCTGACCTTCTTATTCGCAATGTGCCAACGACGGGCGAAAATTACGAGCGCGCGTAGAAAACTCTGAGTGCGTATTACGAAAATAAGCGATTACTAGTGCGCGCGTATCTCGCTAATTTCATCGCCTTACCGAAGATGAAGAGCGAGTCGGCCGTCGAGTTGCGTAAGATCTTCCATAGCATAAAAGCCACGGTCAGCTCATTAGACAGTATCGGTCGGGCGATTAGCCGCAGCGAGGATCTATTCGTCTATCTCGCTGTCGAACTCTTAGATCCGCAATCGCGTCGCGAGTGGGAAAATTCCATAAGTGCCGCGAGCGAGCCTCCGTCGTATGTATTGCTCGAACAATTCCTCGATCGCCGGTTACATACGTTGGAGTCGATGCTCCCCGTAAAAGCCGATGGTGCCGCGAACAAGGCGAGCGACGGAACGCAGAAATCGACGCGGAATCACCTCGCTCGAAAGCAGGATGGCAAGGGTGAAGCAAAGCGTGGCCGTTGCTCTCTCTGCCAGAAAGAGCACATACTCATGTTCTGCGACGACTACAAGAGAAAGACGGCCGTCGAGCGGAAGCAATACGTCGACGATAACGGGTTGTGCGTGAATTGCCTCGGGAAGCACAAATTAGATGACTGCGCCGGGAAGAAAAACTGTTACGCGTGTGGGGCGCGCCATCATTCGTCTCTCCACGACGCGTGTCGCGAGCTCGGGGTCGCGAAGACGTCGCACGTAGCAACGGATTCGCCCGTCAAGTCTGTGGCGGTGCTTCTTGCCACCGCTCGCGTCCGCGTAGCCGATCGCCACGGTGCCTGGCACACCGCGCGAGCCTTGATAGACCAAGGCTCGGAATCGTCGATGATTTCGGAGCGACTCGCGCAACAATTGAGACTGCCTCGCGTTCCGGTCGCGGTGAACGTCTTCGGAATCGGCGGGTTGCAATCGGGAGTAGCCCGAGGTCGAGTTGCGATGACGCTGTCCTCGCGGAGCGAAGGACGGGCGTTTACCGTGTCCGCTCTCGTGTTCCCGCGGCTCACCGTGTATGCCGGTGGCATCGAAGCCGGAGCGGCTACTTGGCCGCACCTTCGCGGACTAGAATTAGCGGATCCAGAATTTTGCTCTTCAGATCCGATCGATGTACTCCTCGGCGCCGACATTTACGCGTCGATACTCCGTGCGGGGCTCCGGAGGGGAGGACCTCGCGAACCGGTCGCCCAGAACACGACGTTGGGGTGGATCCTCTCGGGAGTGATCGCTGATTCCGTTTCCGGACACGTCGCGTACACTCACCAATGCCGGATCGAGGAAGATCTGGTGAGCGTGGTGCGCCGGTTTTGGGAGCAGGAGGAAGTTCCGTCGAGCGCGGTGACTCTCTCGAAGGAGGAAGCTGAGTACGAGGAACATTTCGTCCGGACGCATTCGCGACGGCCCGATGGACGCTATGTAGTGCGCCTTCCTCTCATCTCGCCGTTGCCGGACCTCTCCGAAACGCGTCGCGTAGCAGAGCAAGTGCTTCAAAGCATGGAGAGTCGGTTCGCGCGGGATGCCGACCTCCAGGCCGCGTACGTGGATTTCATGAAGCAGTATGCCGAGCTGGGGCATATGGTGCCAGTCCGCGGCGACGACTTGATTAGCGCTCGCGTATGTTACTTGCCGCATCACGGCGTTCTGCGGGAGACGAGCTCTACGACCAAGCTGAGAGTAGTCTTCAATGGCTCAGCTACAGTCCCGTCCGGGGACTCATTGAATCAGCGCCTGATGGTCGGACCCAACCTGCTGCCTGCGCTGACGGACGTTCTTCTACGATGGCGCCGCCATCGATTCGTCTTCGCCACGGACATCGAGAAGATGTACCGGCAGATTGACGTCCATCGGGAGGATGTGGACTTGCAGCGGATTCTCTGGCGGTTCGATCCACGAGAGCCTATACTAGAGTATTGGCTCACCACTGTTACGTACGGCCTGGCCTGCTCTCCACACCAAGCAATTCGTACGATGCACCAGCTTGCCAAGGATGAGAAGCATCGATTTCCGGAGGGAGCAAGCGTCCTGGAGGAGGACACCTACATGGACGACGTGATCTCCGGAGCGAAAACGCTGGCTGCCGCTTTAGAGAAACGGAGACAGTTGGAGCGGATCTGCATGGCGGGCGGCTTCCCGCTGAAAAAGTGGTCCGCCAATGACGAGACTCTCCTGGAGGACGTGCCGGTGGAGGATCGTTTACTGAAGGAGCCTCGAGGATGGCAGCCGGGTGAGAGCCATCTGACCTTGGGCCTGCGGTGGCATCCACACGACGATCAATTCTCGTATACGACCCAGCTGATCCGGACAGAAACGTTCACAAAACGAACGGTCCTCTCGCTAACAGCAAGACTATTCGACCCACTGGGGTGGCTCGCCCCGGCCACGGTGCGCGCGAAGATCCTTTTCCAGTCCACGTGGTTGCTGGGGATTGAGTGGGACGAGCCGCTCCCGGAAAAAGATGTGCAAAACTGGAGAGCATTCCAGTCTGATCTGCCCTCCCTGGAAGCCATCCGCGTTCCGCGCTGGCTGACGAGCGGAGACGAGGGCTGCCGGCTGGAGCTCCATGGCTTTGCTGACGCCTCGGAGCGAGCCTATGCCGCCGTCATCTATTTGCGAGTCGAGAGAGGAGACGGAGAAGTGGAAGTGAGGCTGCTCGAGGCAAAAACGAAGGTTGCACCGCTGAAACAGGTGACCTTGCCGCGCTTGGAGCTGAGCGCCGCGACCTTGCTTGTGCGACTAATGGCTCACGTTCAGCGAGTCCTCGAAACGAGGAATGTCCCCTCGCATCTGTGGTCGGACGCCAAGGTTGTGCTGGGCTGGATCCGCGGACATCCATCGGCCTGGAAAACCTATGTAGCCAATAGGGTAAGCGAAATCCAAACGACGCTGCCTGACGCAATCTGGCACCACGTTCCCGGGCAAGAGAACCCCGCCGATTGCGCTTCGCGCGGCATATCCTCAGCAGAGCTGGTAAACCACCCGCTCTGGTGGCGCGGCCCATCATGGCTAAGGACCGAATCCGGCCCGTGGACCGCCCTTCCGGAAACCGAGCTTCCTGCTAGCCTGCCGGATCGGCGAACGGCTGTGCACGCAACGGCCACGCCCACGGAGAAGATCGACGAGCCCTCAGAGTTGACGGGATGTTCCTCCCTGACATGACTGTTACGACGGACGGCCTGGTGCCGTCGCTGGCTGCGGCGATTGCCCCGGCAGAGGACCGTCGCTGACTCTCAAATCGATTTCGAAGCCCCGCTCGTACTCCGGTTTTCCGAGCTCGATGACGCCTGGCGTGGCTGGATCCGAGTGGTGCAAGAAGCAGCATTTAGCGGGGAGCTGAGAGCGATTTCAAAGGGCGAGCAGCTGCCGGCACGCAGTAGCCTCGCTAAGCTAAACCCGCTTCGAGACGAGCAAGGGATCCTGCGAGTGGGTGGGCGACTCCGGCACGCCCTCCTAGCTCCCGACGCAAAGCACCCGATGATCCTGCCGAGTGAGTCACATTTCACGCGGCTCGTCACCAAAGCTCACCATCGACGGACGCTGCACGGAGGTGTGCAAATGACGCTGAGTTCCATCCGGCAGGAGTTTTGGATACCCCGAGGTCGCTCACTTGTAAAGGGCTGCATCCACCGCTGCTTAATCTGTCTGCGATGGCGGGCGGCCTCGCCGCAGCCGCTCATGGGGGACCTGCCGCCGCCCAGGGTGACCCCATCTCGCCCGTTTCTTAACACGGGCATCGACTATGCCGGTCCAGTATGGCTGCGGACGTCCAAAGGCCGAGGACACCACGCAGCCAAAGCGTTTATTACTGTCTTTATTTGTTTGAGTTCCAGAGCCGTTCATTTAGATGTAGCGTCGGACTACTCCGCGGAGGCGTTCCTGGCCGCCCTACGCCGATTCGTCGCCCGCCGAGGCCTGTGTCGCGCGCTTTATAGCGATTGCGGGACGAACTTCGTCGGAGCCGACGCTCAGCTGAAAGCCTTGTTCTCCGCTAGCGACCAGGAAGGCCGACGAATCGCAGCACGCGTCGCAGAGGAAAGCATACAGTGGCATTTCAACCCTCCGGCGGCGCCTAACTTCGGCGGAATTTGGGAGGCCGCCGTGAAATCAATGAAGTTGCACTTGAGGCGGGTCATAGGCGAAACGAAACTAACGTACGAGGAGATGGCCACCGTCCTTGCGCAAGTCGAAGCGTGCTTGAACTCACGCCCGCTCCAAGCCCTATCAGATGACCCGGAGGACTTAGCCGCGCTGAAGCCGGGCCACTTCCTCATCGGCTCAGCACTCAAAGCAGTACCCGAGCCGTCTCTAGCCGAGGAGTCAACGAGCCGTCTCTCCCGGTGGCAGCTGCTGCAAAGGATTCGGGATCAATTCTGGGACCGGTGGTCAAAGGAATATCTCCACACGCTGGCGCACCGGCCAAAATGGGTCAAAGCTAGCGAAGAAATTCAGGTCGGCCGATTGTGCCTCCTGAGGAGCGAAACGACCCCACCGACGAAATGGCCTCTAGCGAGAATCGAGGAGCTGCACCCCGGGGGAGACGGCCACGTCCGCGTAGTCTCCGTTCGAACGGCTACCTCGCGCTTTACCCGGCCCGTGAGTAAGCTCGTTCTCCTCCCCGTGAGCGCCGCGCCTGAGGATGACGTCCGCTAAGTACACTCCCGGTACATACTAACGGTCAAATTTCCATGCTATTTTTTCCTTAATAATTTTCGTTGATTTGTACAAAATATTGCCTTGTAAAATTATCGTTAATATTGTGCTCAGTGTGAGCTCGCCGATGGCGAGAAGCGTAAAGTCTAAACGTACATCATATCCCCTCGCCTGTGTTGCGAGACGTACTTGCGTTCCATCGCGTTCGGCCAAGCGCGTTCACGTTCTCGGCGCGTGTTCGGTTGCGACGTTACCACAGTATCATTCGTAGGTTGCACCATACGAGGCGGGCGGAATGTTCGCGATCGAACAAAAACCAGCGTCGGCGAATCTACACCACGAATCTAAGAAAATCGCTATTTCGAAATAATTTTAAATTGGCCTATATTTACTCGCTCCTTTGTCTCGAGGACTCGGTGCGCGAGGCATACCCCGGGACAAAGCGAGCAAATAATATTTCAAAACAGCTGATCGGTGGCCGGCCTCGAGTTCAGCGTGACGTGCGTCAATACTAATTTCTCGAGACGCCGACAGCGGATTGGCTCAGCTGAATTTTCAGCTCGTTACCGGGGGTCCGGAGGATTTGAGAGAATTCGGAAGTCGTGGGAATAAAACTCCGGACCTTCGCGCGCGAGCCCACAATTGACGAAAGTTTCTCGGAGCGAGCGTGTTAAAGTAAAGTCAATCTTAGAGTTCTTATTTTCACGCGCGGGAATAGCCGTCGTTCGTGTGTATTAAATACTTGCATATAATGTACATTCTTGAATTATAGACATTTCACAACAGAAGACTTTCTACGAATCTTAATTCCTTCCTTCCCGCGACTCCTTCGTCCATTCGCGCACAATTTTAAATAAACTTTTATGTAATATCCCTGGTAATTTCATAAAATTAATATTTTCATCAAATTAAACTGCCAAATACGGTCAGGCTGAATTTTGTTCACCTGTATAGTAACAATTTTTCGTGTGAATTTTAAAAATATATTCTTTCGGTTCGTCAACTACACGCGCCGTACTTTCAATCTTGAAACGCAGTCTGAAACTGAAACGTACAATCACATAATTAAATTGATAATCAATTTAACAATACCGATACTATACCCATCTCCACACACACTGCAAAGAATGTTACGGAAATATTTTTAAATTATAGTTTATAAAATTATTGACTATAATTTTTATTTTTCTTTAAATTTCAATTAATATCTAATATTTTAAATTTCAATTATAAAATTAATTTTTATTTTATTATTAATTTCTTAAATTTTAATTTATTAATTTAATCAAGAAATATATATTTTTCACATATCGACTGATATCTTTCAGGAGGTCGTATCTCACACAATTCGAGGTCAATTTTACACAATTTCCGATTTTTTTGCTTAAAGACGGTCTCCGGCTCCAGTCGTTCTCAACTTGTATTCGTGCTTAAAACGATGTTTATATACAAAATATTATATAATAACATCTAAAAAATAAGAAGTTAACTTCACGCGTAAGAACTCATGCGGCGTTGTCAAGTAACTGACGCCTCTTCTTTTCTATCACTCCGAACCGAGCGAAAAATTCATCAAATCGCGTACTTTACACAAGTATTTCTCGAAAACGAGTACAACAAGGGTATTGACACTTAATTGCAAATTATTTATTTTATCTTTATGGAGCATCATAGACTAATTTTTCAAAAACATTTAGAGAAAACTTTTTTCACAATTCATTATAATGTCTCTTATTTTACAATAGTTCAGAATAGGAATTACATGTTAAAAGTTGAAATTTTGAAACTCAGTATCTCGATGTTTAATACCGCAAGAGGTATTAAAATTTACACTATTGCATAAAGCACATCTAAATTAACGTATATTCACAGTTTTAAAAAAATCTAGAGAAAATCGATTTTCCGGAGAACGACCTTAAACGCTCGGTCAGGTAACCCCGAAGCTAAGTGTCTACATCCTATCTTGAAATAGATTACCAAAAATGAATTATAGTTGTCAAAATTTTCTCGTATTTTCTCGTATTTGTAGATACGATAAATTTGCATTTCAAAATTATAATCAAATGAACAAGATACGACATATTTATTTTTAAATGACAATAATAAATGTTATTTAAAAATAAATATGTCGTATCTTGTTCATTTGGTTACAATTTTGAAGTGTGTCGTATCTATAAAAATTGCGTTTTTGCGTTTGTTTCCCCACAAATAATATAAAATTAAACAATAAAACTGTATTTTAATTCCAAATCACTATACTTTTGAACAGTAAAGCAAACTATCTTGTTTGTTGGTTATCAACGAAACAAAAATTTACGAATCCTGTAAAGTGACAGTTTTTGAGATACGATCTCCCAAAAGATATCAGTCGATATACGATAGAAACAATAAAAAATATGAACAAGAAAAGATTTTGTCATCGTTGAAATAAAATTCAAACTTGTGAAGATCTATAAACAATAAAACATTTATGTTATTGAATTATTGATTTATTTTTACTGCCCAATCTATTGTAAGTATATGCAAAAGTTAACTAAAAAAGCAAAACAAATGTAATGCGTTAAACATATTTTAATGTACGTTGCTTATTTTTAGTATTATATTAAGTGTTATTTGCAATTGGGAACAAAGTTCTTTAAAAGTTTTAAACATCATCGCAGGTGATGACCGTTACATGATTTATCGGGAAGATAAGTATAGGAAGATTTTTCAATTTTAAAATATTTATCGCTTTATAATAAAACATTACATTTACATTCTCTCACTTTATGAGATTTTACATTATTTTATATCACGTTTCACTTTATTGATAATTGGATTTGCCACAAAAAACCCTATCTATTTTAGAACCCTCGCGTCTAACAACGAGATTTTGCTAAAATAAAAAATTATTGTTAGAGGATCAGAATATTCTACAGACATAATCCTCCAAGTCGACATTGAATAGAGATACCTACACTCTCTGAAACATTAGAAAAATATGCTATATAACATTCTTTCATTCGATTTCTCGGCATCCAAGACAAATTTTCTCCGTGGTGATAGTGGTAATGGATACAATCAATTATTTTGTATATCCCTGACTGTTCGAGAGCACGCGGTTGCGCGAGATAGCGCGAGGTAACGAGACGACCACAAAAACAAGGCACAAGTATCGAATTGCAAAATAAACGAATATATTTAATAATGTCTAATATGTACAGGTCTATACAGTTCTTTCCCCTTTTCAAAGGAAGCCGTGGAGCACGCACAGAAGCTACGGCTAGCGATGCGGCGAAAACGTTCTAAACGCGGAACAGCGGTGTGTAAAGCGGAGTACGAAAGCGGGTTTTCTAGGATCTGCGAGCGAAATCGTTTCCGCGGCGCGGCGACGGTCCTTTTAACACCTCCGAGGCGAAACTCCCTCCCTGCAGATTTCCCAGAATTTCGGGAGGGTGATTGGCCGTCGGAGGCCTGCGTCATGGAGCTGACGTCACCGATTTCGCGTGGCGACCCGACGGGGTCGTCGCCTGTTTTCGAGTGCTTTGTGTATAGCATGGATCGTTCCTTTGTTCTAGCGTTGTTATTTGACTTTGTTATTGATGACAATGTTAACGTTTCTGGAAAGCTAATCTCGAAAGATCCATGCTATACCGAATATTTTCTTGACAATTTTCATGCGACGATTTTACGCGAACATTAGTTACTTTCACTTCATGAAATGTTAGACCGAAATTTACTGCAAGCGTGCATGTGCTGACATGCAGCCGAACGCGACTTCGTCGCAATGTGAATTGTTGCGATCTCAAACACTGACTCACATCCAGAAACTTGCAATTAGCTGGATCAGTAGTAACAAATTTATTTGTATAAAGTACTTCAATTGATATATTAAAATAGTTTATTATCCGTCATCACAGGGAGATGCCTATAGGACGTCGAAAAATCGAATAAAACAAAGCCAGTCAAACTCCCCGCCTGGCAGTGTCCTCGAATCGGATCACGCGGGAGTATTAACGGCGATCGGCCGCGAGGCCTCACGCCACTCTGACACGCTTGGCTCTAGAACACCGTGACCGCCGGGGCACGAAGCCCTCGGGGCACGCGCTCCGCCTAACCGAGTAAGTAAGGAAACGATGAAAGTAGTGGTATTTCACCGGCGATGTTGCCATCTCCCACTTATGCTACACCTCTCATGTCTCCTTACAGTGCCAGACTAGAGTCAAGCTCAACAGGGTCTTCTTTCCCCGCTAATTTTTCCAAGCCCGTTCCCTTGGCAGTGGTTTCGCTAGATAGTAGATAGGGACAGTGGGAATCTCGTTAATCCATTCATGCGCGTCACTAATTAGATGACGAGGCATTTGGCTACTTGCATCACGTCCTTTTGGCGCGTCTTACCGCTTCGGGGCAGTGCGGTTCCTGATAACAACGGGTCCCGGCTCGAGCGACCCTGCAGGTTGACTATTGGATCGCTCATCTGCGCAACGGGTTACCCAATAACAAGGATACGAGATCCAGCATAACTTTCGTTCTTCATTATCACCCATCTTATAGTGACTGGCCTATCTAGCACTCTTGACAAGTCCTCCCGCAGGAGGGAAACCCATCTGACTGATCTGCCGCGGGATTCCTACGTACGGGCTGGAAAAATTATTTAAGCAGAGTCCCCTACTTGGGGAAACGGAACTTGGCCGGCTTGGTGTGTTGCCGTTACCGCGGGGAGCCACGTGGAGGCGTCCGCCCGTGTGCCGGGGCGGTTCGGTCACACGGCTCTGCCGCCGCTCAGTGCCCATCTGAGCGACTCGCATCACTGATGTCTACGGCAAAAGTGCCGGCATAGATTAAAATCGGGAGTGTAGAGTGCTCCCGAATAAATAAATAAATAAATAAGATATTGGGTGGATCAGGTCCCAGACCGTCGTTTATGTATAAAATTACATCAGTGAGCTAGTGCCAAGAGTTTTTAATCTGCAGCATCGCTGCTGTTGAGGCGCATAGGCGCGTTATAATCCATAAACATA